CCTGCTTTCGCTTGGAATCAAAGCTGGGTGAACTGCTTGAAAGACAGTTGTGCTAATCACTACAACCACCATTGCAGAGTGACCAGAATTGTGGGGCAGGGAGGAGACGGTCTACATTACCCCCAGGCACTTAGAATCATAGAATTGAAATGGTACCTCCAGGGTCATCTAGTCCAGCCCCCTGCGCAATGCAGGGAATTCACAAATACCTCCCCCCCGATACCCCCAGTGACCTCTGCTACATGCCCAGTCGATGGCCAACCCCCCCCCCAATACTTCCAAGGGTAAGATGTAAAAGTACGAGATGCAGTAACTCATGAAACACACCCGCTCCCGTTATTTTCCTTTTAGCACATTCCCTGGTTTGCAAATGTACCGCGGGGCCCGGCTGCAGCCTTCTAGGGACCTGTTCAGCTCCAGACTCCGGCGTCTGCCTGACAATGGCACAAAAAAACAACCTGGGTAAGTGGATGTGCCTTGGATGACAGGGCACCGGTGTCGTGTAGCGGTCAGAGCGCCAGATCTGGGATCGGCAAGAAGACCCCGGTTTGAATGCTGTCTCTGCAATGGAAATCGACTCATGCCAGAGACCTCCTTTCTGCCAGTTCTAGCTTGCGAAATTTCCTGAGATTTTTGGGGGTGGGGCCTGAGGAAGGTGGATTTTGGGGAGGGACCTCAGCAAGGCAGTCATGCACCCCAAAGCTGGCTTTTCCTCCAGTGGAACTAGGGTTGCCAAGTCCTACTATAGCTGCAGTGGGAGGGGAGTCCTGACCATGTGCGAAACGTGCGCGCCACCAATTTTCAAAAATAAATGCATTTTAGGAAGAATGAAAAACACAAATAATCAAGAAACTTCAAGAGTATGGGGCCGGGTGCAGTTTGGTGCCCCTAAGGGCCAGCCCGCTCTAGGCGATCGCCTAGTCCGCCTAGTGAGTGAGCCGGCCCTGCATGCACCCCAAAGCTGGCTTTTCCTCCAGTGGAACTAGGGTCGCCAAGTCCTACTGTAGCTGCAGTGGGGGGAAGTCCTGGCCATGCGCGAAACGTGCGCGCCATGATGACGTCACCCAGAAGTGACGTCATCACATTGGGCATGTTTGGGGTGGGACCACTATCGTTTGAGGGAAACGTGCCCGACACTGCAACGTGCCCGACACTGGGCATGTCTCCGCGATCCTGGGACTTTGGGGGTGGGGTTCCCGCTGGTGGCCGGATCCAGGCCGGCGGGTAACGGACCCATTGAGCGGGAGTTTCCCCACCCCCCCAGGGGGACATGGCAACCCTAAGCGGAACTGAACTCTGAAGTACAGAGAGTAGTTTGTAATTCCAGGAGGTTGCTAACCTGTTTAGAGTAATATTTCAAAGCCAAAACATCGAATGAGGAGTCCTGGCAGGTCAGAATCATAGCATCATGGAGCTGTAAGGGACCTCCAGGGTCATCTCGTTCAACCCCCAGCACAATGCCAGAAATCCACAAATACCTCTCCCCGCAAGCACACCCAGTGACCGATGCTCCCTCTAACCTGTGGAGTCTTGTGACTCATGTTCAGTGTATGGTCTACGAAGACCCCTAGATCCTTTTTGCACATCCTACTGCTCCAACTGTCAGGAAGTTCTTCCTAATGTTTAGCTGAAAACTCTTTTGATTCAGTTTAGTTTATTATCATTACGGTCTTTTAAGACCAACATAGAGAGTAAGCTTGACAGCTCCAGAGAGACAAAGAAGTGCCTGTTTAATTGCACAACAGCGATCAGTGCTCATCCCTGGAGGAAACCCTGGTTGGGTTGCCAGGTCCCTCTGAGTCCCCAGCAGGGGTCTTTGGGGGACATTCGGGGGGGGGACCACAGCCCCAACGTGATGATGTCACACAGAAGTGACATCATGACCAAGGCTCTTTTTGTAGCAGGAACTCCTTTGCATATTAATAATAATAATAATACCTTTAGATTTATTGATCGCTCAATGGCAGAGCTGCTGGCTCTGAGCGATTTACAGTTACACAGGGTTTTCACATGAGACTAACAATGATAGGGGTAAGGGAGGACAACATATAATTCTCTAAATCGCACACGTTTGCAGCCGACGGGGATTTTGTTCAGCTGTAGGCTTCAGTCGTGTTCCGGGCGGCATTCATTTCGGCTTGGCTTGATGACGTTAGTTCTTCCTGGGCTGCTTTGAGTCGTAGCGCCGCACTGCCACCGCCTGGCCGGATTGGCCATTACAGGCTTCTTGATGCCGAAGTGGTCTTTTTTCCAGGCTTCCAAGCTTACGAGCTGGACATTCCATTTGCCGGCTAACACCTCCCCTACGGGGGTTTAGTGTGCCCACCCTCTCTAAGGAGTGGTACCCATTTTATCTACTCGCCGAAGCTTTCAAACCGCTGGGTGGACGGCGAGCTGGGGACAAGGCTGGTAGCTCACACCAGCGCGGGCTAGAACTGACAGCAACTCTGTTCAGTTCAGGTGTTAACCAGAGGATAAATCCTCTGTGCCCCTGTAAGAAGAGCTCCGTAAGCTCTTGGAGGATTGGCTACCTTAGAGGTGCGTCGCCTAATATGCAAAGTAGTTCCTGCTACAAAATGGCGTTGGGGACTGCTGCCTGCACTCCAAGCCGCGAATTTGCAGATTGCAGGTGTGCGTGGCCTCCCCACTTATCCCCCAGAGCATTTAAGGGACCCCTTTAAATGCTTTGGGGGAGAAGCAGGGGGTGGCACACGCCCCTCTCCCTCCCTCCTGCAAGATTTAAAGGGCCCTCCAGCTGATCAGTGGGCCATGTGCTCCCTGCCGATCAGCTGAAGGGCCCTTTTAATCTTGCAGGAGGGGAGGGAGAGGGGTGGCTGTTGGCGGTCAGGCTTGGGGGCAGGGCTTCCCAGCTGGCAAGTGGCAGATCAGAGACCCCCAAAACCAGGGGAACAGCTGCAGGGACCTGGGGTACGGCAACCCTAGATCCTGGGTAGAGTAAAAGCGCCAGTCTTTGCCCTGAACCCGACACTTGCATCGATTGATCGTGATTATATTTGTGCATCCCAGAGACCCAGGTGGAGTCAAAATGTGACAGGGTCTGTACTTGGGCCCCCCCGGAATAGCTTGAACCATCCCGCGGGGCTACGGGATGCCCTCCGAGCGTACCTGATGGTTAAAACCATCTTTCGAAACTCATCCTTGCAAACGAAGAGTCGGGTTCGTGTTTTGCCGATTTGCCTTTTGACGTTACTGCCACTGAGATCAGATTTTTTAAAAACAATTCACAAGCCACCTTGAGAAACCCTAGGAAAGATTAGGCATGGGAGAAATGCTTCACATTCGTGGATGGGTGTTTTCAGGGGTCATTTTGTAGAAAAAGAGGTGCAGGAGCTCATTAGCATAACTCATTAGCATAACTTGTTTGTATATGCCCACACCCCCTGACATCACCGGAAGTGTGTCAGAAGGCAACACCCACCGCTCAGGCTCCACTGGACTCTTGGATTCCTAGCTATGGGGGGGATGCACAGATCTGCCCTCACAGAGGAGGGAGAGCGTGTACCTGAATAAACCTTGGCCTTAAAGGTGCCACTGGACTCTTTTGGAATGCAAGCTATGGGGGGGGGTCTGCAACTTACCTGGCTGCTTCTTGCTCTTACTGAGGGCTGCTGGGAGCAGGGGGTGGGTCTTGTTTCATGTGCCCGCCCCCTGGGCTCTTACTGCCGGAGCTCCGCTCCTGTGTGCTCCTGCAGGAAATGACCCCCCGGGGTGTTTTTGATTTGCTCTTTTAACCCCTTCACGGCTTTGCCGGATTTTGAAACAGGACTGCCCTGGTCATCGAGGGTATACAGAGCATGCGAGCAGAACGCTCAGGTTTGCGATGAGAATGTCATGACCCTCACCGTGGGAAAAGGACTGTACTGGACGAGCCGTACTGAATGCTGCACCACCGATAATTGCAACGCTGCTTCCATCAGCGGTACGTGGGGTCTGAACTGGACTATGGGGCGGGGAGGATCCAAGCACCTGACCTGGACGGCTGGGTTGATCCGCCCTCTTCATCAGAGGCTGATCAGGAAGAAGCAAGGCCGGAACAATGACTCGGGCAGAGGCATAGCGGGCAGCCTCCTCCGCGGTTGGGTACCCTGGGTTGTTTAAGTAATCTAGTGCCTGCGACACACACCAGATTTAAAGAATGATGGTGTTCCTGGGGATTTTTTTCTGCTTAGTGCCGCCTGTGAGCCTCACCCCCAATGGGCGGGAGTGCCCCGCATGCTTCGCCGTCGGTTCTGACTGTGCGGGGCCTGAGACACAGAAGTGCACAGGAGACCAGGATCACTGCATCACCATCTCTGGAACTATGGATGAAGGTAAGGGCCCCCTTGTCTGCCGCAGTGGCTTTCAGAGAGAGACCGGTTTCCCTGACCTGGCAAGCCCTATCTCATCAGATCTTGGAAGCTAAGCAGGGTCAACTCTGGCAAGGACTTGGATGGAGACCAATGTTCCCTCTAAGCTGTGGAGTCTTGTGAGCAAAAATTCTACTTTGTGAGCTACTGGCATTAAAGATGTGAGCGAGCGATTTGGCTACTGCATAATTTAATGTGTTGACTTCCAGGTGCGCGCACACTCACACACACATGCACATATGAAAAATACAAAAAAGTACAGAGTGAGAGAGATAGATGAGAGAGAGAGAGAGAGGGAGAGAGAGAGAGAGAGAGAGGTAGGTTTGAAATTGCCCTGCCCATTCCTCGCCATCCAAGCCCCAAGTCCCAAATCCAAATCACTGGCTGTACGATTTCATGTTTTGTGTGTTTGTGTCTTTAAAAGTGGTTTGCATGGCTGTGTGATGATAATGTAGAATGCTGGACAGGCATGTGGTGTGATTGGTGATTGACAGAGAGGGGGAGGGAGGATAAGATATGTCGGGAGAGAGAGAGAGAGAGAGAGAGAGAGAGAGAGAGAGAGAGAGAGAGAGTTGTTTTTTTTAAAATTGCCCTGCCCATTCCTTGCCATCCAAGCCCCGAGTCCCAAATCCAAATCGCTGGCTTTCCCCATCCCTTTCACAAACTGGAAGGATTGAGAGACCAGTTTGCGCCCTCAGCTCCGGAGCTCGGCAAGTCCAGCCCTTCTTAGCTCCAGGGAGGTGTCTGTGTCTGTGTGTTTTTGTATGCATGATGGGCCTGTGTGCTTGCTCAGTGAGGGGCACTGGGTTGCCACCTCCAGATTGGGTATTTAAGATAACAGTTCTGAACGAAATTCTTCTCAGGAAACACATAGTCCTTCGAAAGCCCAGACCCTGGGTCACAATACCAAAACCAGTAGAAGAAAATATTATAGAAAGGTGTGGGAAAGCCTAAATTTCCCTGGTGGCAGCCAGATTACCCATAGGAAAATAAAACATAAGAACTTTTAAAGGTAAACCAGACCTCCCCAGATAAGAGGTCGTCACACTGGCTTTCCCCATCCCTTTTACAAGCTGGAAGGATTGAGAGATCAGTTTGCGCCCTCAGCTCTGGAGCTTGGCAAGTCCAGCCCTTCTTAGCTCCAGGGAGGTGTCTGTGTGCTTGCTTAATGAGGGGCACAGGGTTGCCACCTCCAGCTTGGGAGATTCCTGGAGGTTTGGGAGGTGGCAGGGGGAGAACAGAGGCAGGGAGGTAGATCACCTGCTTTGCATGGAGAACGTCCCATAAGAACATAAGAGAAGCCAATGTTGGATCAGGCCAATGGCCCATCCAGTCCAACACTCTGTGTCGCACAGTGGCCAAAAATACCAGGTGCCATCAGGAGATCCAGCAGAGGGGCCAGGACACTAGAAGCCCCCCACTGTTGCCCCCCCCCCAAGCACCAAGAATACAGAGCATCACTTGCACCAGACCAAGAGTTCCTATCTAGACCTTGTGGCTAACAAACACTGATGGGCCTCTGCTCCATATGTTGATCCAATTCCCTCTCGAAGCGCGCACACGCCGCATGCACGTCACAGGGAAGTGACGTCATGACGCCGGGCACGCTGGGGGCGGGGCCACGACCATAAATGGGAAAACCATAGAGTTTTCCCTTGTATGGCCGTGGCCCCGCCCCCAGCGTGCCCGGCGTCATAGCGTCACTTCCCTGTGACGTGCACGCTGGGGCGGTGTCCCCCCTGGGGACCGATTCCCCAGCGTCGGGGAACGGGCCTCTGGGGCGGGGGGATTTGGCAGCCCTAACCTCAGCAGAGTGTAACGCCATACAGTCCGTCCCCCAAAGCAGCCATTTTCTTCTTGGTTATCTAGGGAACACATGTAATACTGGGGGGGGGTGTCTCTCCAGATCCCACCAGGAGCTTGACAACCATACACCCAGACCTTGACAATCTAGGTCCTCCCCGACCTGGAGGCTGGCCCTGGTGTCTGGTCTCAGTGTGCAAACGGGAGTGAGATTTGAACCAGGGACGTCTTGGACAGCCCGCTCCTTCCATAGGTGCCCTTCAGCACCAGCTCCGTATTGACCATGCCCTTTGCTAACGGACTTTCTTTTCTACCTCCAGCAGGTGCCGTTTCCGTCCCATTCATAGCTAAGGGCTGCAGCACAGCCACGACCTGCCTTTTGCCTGTGGAGAAAGCCCTGGGGTCGACGGGGGTCACCTTAAAATTCAAAAGCATCACATGTGACCCAGCACCTAGCGGCCAGAGTGGACAGTAGGCCTGGCTGAAGGATGAGAACGTGCAGAGTCTGTCCTCTGACAGATCATGGAGAATGGCCTAAATTTCTTCCCTTTTCTTCCCTCCCCTCCTTCTTTCATTTCCATGGTGCAATTCTATGTCGCCCTTGTAGTGAATTCCTTAAATAAAGTGGCATGAAAATGAGCAAGAGCTGATAAACTCATTTTTCCTCCTGTGCTTCTCAGGGTGAAGTAGAGGTTAGGGTTACAAAACCTGTTTTTGGAAATTCCTGGAGATTTAGGGGTGGAGCCTTGGGAAGGCCAAGTTTGGAAATGGCCTCAGAAGGTTTGGAGATCAGCCACAATTCTGGCAGTTGTCCAGGCCCCACCTGGAGGTTGGGAACCCTAAGCAGAGCCTGGGTGTGGTGGCACTTTATTCTTGATGGGGAAGCTGGCTGGTGGTGAGACCCTGAAATGCTACAGCCAAACTGTATCTCTCGACAGAAGGCGAGGGGACTAATTCCAGTCAGTGAGGGTGTGAACCAAGCCACCCTGGAGTTTATTAGCGTATTTAAAAATATCAATTTAGCTCACTCTTTAACACATATCGGGCTGGTGAGGTGGTTAACAGCAATGATAAAACCATAACGACACAGTCAAATACACAAATGGACAAAATGTCATGGCGATGTCAACGTGTCGGCCCCCAGATTCACCGAAAGTCAAGATTTAGCAGGGCCAACCAATTCTACAAGCATAAATGAAGTCCTTAACTCAAGTCAAAGCTTGGGGCTCAAAAAAAGTTTTTTGCCTGGTGCCCAAAATTAGCCAAACTAGACATTTGACAACCATGGCAAGGAGAGCAACAGTTTCCCAAATGAGGGGTCACCACACACACACACACAAAAAGCTTTCTCCCTTGCGGTTACCCACCTTAAGAACCTGATCATAAGATTTTAATTGTTGATCAGGAATACTCAGGTGTCATTTCCTAGAAAAAGAGGAGCAGGAGCTCATTAGCATAACTCATTAGCATAATGTATTTGCATATGCCACACCCCCTGACATCACCGGAAGCGTGTCAGAAGTCAACACTCAGGCTCCACTGGACTGTTTTGGGGCTGCAGCACAGCCACGACCTGCCTTTTGCCTGTGGAGAAAGCCCTGGGGTCGACGGGGGTCACCTTAAAGTTCAAAAGCATCACATGCGACCCAGCGCCTAGCGGCCAGAGTGGACAGTAGGCCTGGCTGAAGGATGAGAACGTGCAGAGTCTGTCCTCTGACAGATCATGGAGAATGGCCTAAATTTCTTCCCTTTTCTTCCCTCCCCTCCTTCTTTCATTTCCATGGTGCAATTCTATGTCGCCCTTGTAGTGAATTCCTTAAATAAAGTGGCATGAAAATGAGCAAGAGCTGATAAACTCATTTTTCCTCCTGTGCTTCTCAGGGTGAAGTAGAGGTTAGGGTTACAAAACCTGTTTTTGGAAATTCCTGGAGATTTAGGGGTGGAGCCTTGGGAAGGCCAAGTTTGGAAATGGCCTCAGAAGGTTTGGAGATCAGCCACAATTCTGGCAGTTGTCCAGGCCCCACCTGGAGGTTGGGAACCCTAAGCAGAGCCTGGGTGTGGTGGCACTTTATTCTTGATGGGGAAGCTGGCTGGTGGTGAGACCCTGAAATGCTACAGCCAAACTGTATCTCTCGACAGAAGGCGAGGGGACTAATTCCAGTCAGTGAGGGTGTGAACCAAGCCACCCTGGAGTTTATTAGCGTATTTAAAAATATCAATTTAGCTCACTCTTTAACACATATCGGGCTGGTGAGGTGGTTAACAGCAATGATAAAACCATAACGACACAGTCAAATACACAAATGGACAAAATGTCATGGCGATGTCAACGTGTCGGCCCCCAGATTCACCGAAAGTCAAGATTTAGCAGGGCCAACCAATTCTACAAGCATAAATGAAGTCCTTAACTCAAGTCAAAGCTTGGGGCTCAAAAAAAGTTTTTTGCCTGGTGCCCAAAATTAGCCAAACTAGACATTTGACAACCATGGCAAGGAGAGCAACAGTTTCCCAAATGAGGGGTCACCACACACACACACACAAAAAGCTTTCTCCCTTGCGGTTACCCACCTTAAGAACCTGATCATAAGATTTTAATTGTTGATCAGGAATACTCAGGTGTCATTTCCTAGAAAAAGAGGAGCAGGAGCTCATTAGCATAACTCATTAGCATAATGTATTTGCATATGCCACACCCCCTGACATCACCGGAAGCGTGTCAGAAGTCAACACTCAGGCTCCACTGGACTGTTTTGGATTGCTAGCTATTGGGGGGGGGGGACATGCAGATCTGTCCTCACAGAGGAGGGAGAGCTTGTACCTGAATAAAACTTGGTCTTAAAGGTGTCACTGGACTGTTTTGGGCCGGGGGGCTCTGCAACTTACCTGGCTGCTTCTTGCTCTGACTTAGGACTGCTGAGAGTGGGTGGGGCTTGTTGCATGTGCCTGCCCCCTGGGCTCTTTACTGCCGGAGCTCTGCTCCCGTGCGCTCCTGCAGGAAATGACCCCTGGGAATACTGGTCCCAGAATGTTCAAGGAGTTCCTACTTCCTTATCTTGGTGGTTGATGAAATTTTAGATGGACTTCCGGGTCCCTTTAACTTAAAAAGCTTCAGGCATTGTTTTCTCAAGGAGGAACAAGACGTGGCGTGTACTACCATGTTGTTGGGCTTGGGTTTTTTTTACAGATGATATTTAGCTTTACACAGGGCACTGCAGTCTCCGTGGTTGTAACTAGGCCCGACATGGCCATTCTACTGGTGGCACCACAGTGCTGCGGCTGCCCTTCACATTCATTTCCTCCTTCCCCTCACCCCGTCTTTTAAGCTTCTGTTTCACGAAGAAGAGGAAGTGAGGGGCAGGGGAAGAGCAGGTTTTTAAAAACCATTTATGTTATCTGTAGTCTACCTTTCTTGCAGAGCTCAAGGGCGATTACACAGAGTGAGTCAGTACAGTCAACAAAATGGGACGTTCAGTAACCAATGCCTTAGGAAAGAGCAAGAGTCCCATAGTGTTAAGAGCCAGTTTGGTGTAGTGGTTAAGTGTGCGGACTCTAATCTGGGAGAACCGGGTTTGATTCCCCACTCCTCCACTCGCACCTGCTGATGTGACCTTGGGTCAGTGACAAGCTCTGGCACAGCTGCCCTTGAAAGAGCAGTTTGTGTCAGAGTTCTCTCAGCCCCACCCACCTCACAGGGTGTCTGTTGTGGGGAGGGGAAGGGAAAGGAGTTTGTAAGCCGCTCTGAGACTCCAAGTGAAGGGCGGGGTATAAATCCAATCTC